TATCAAACACTTTTTATGCGCCTCTCGTCTTGATCGAAGCGCAAACCAGATCAAAGCACTTCCACCCTCCTTGCTAGGGCCCAGCTAGGGCCCAAAATTGTTTAGTTGAGAAAGAATAGCGCTCCAGGCAATTAGCGTTACAGTACTTGCCCTGTTTGCCTTCTAAGGAAGGTTTTGTTATTACTGAAAGGTCCAGCGGAGACCTCGTACCTAGGTCTGGACCTGCAGTTCGGATATGAAATCAATATCTCGCCTTCGTAACCCAGTTGATTCTTTAAAAAAATGACATGCCGATCATAGGATGACAAGGACAGGCGACAGATGGAGATTAAATTATGAACCGGATCCCTCGCAAAGCAAAGCGTCCTCGAGGAAAAACCATCCAGATGGGCTGATGTGTTTGTTGCACGGATGGGCCAACTGAATTCTCAGCTGGTAACAAATAATGGAGCTGGATCTCGCGAACGTCGCCGCCGCACCTCAATACCAACATCGTGAATGACGCTAGCGAGAGACAGAAACGGATGGAAACACTGCTGTGGCCTGTACGACAAGTGAAGACAAGCCATCTAAGTAGATAAGTAAGTACATAAGTGGTAAGTAAGTAAAATGATTTGAGTATGAATCCTAAACAACGGGAGAATACTCTGTTGTGGTAAACAGCAAGTTATTCTTTTTCCTAATCAACTATGCAGGTAGCAAATTGTATTTCCTTATCAATAGATACCATGCAACTCTCTGATAAACATATGATTTGATCATTGCTTTCAGCTGTTTTGGTTAATCCTCTTATACAACTGGAAAAACGCCACTAAAACCAAGGAAAAAAATTTTCAATGACTAGCCTGTACGGGCACCAAAGATGAGTCGGGTGATGAAGTGTACGCATAGCACATGTATGGAATCAAAATGCTAAATCGCAATCATACTAAGTTAAGTTTTCTCAGCAAGAGAACCATGTGTTCTCGGTTAACGCCCTCAGAGCTTCATAACAGCAAACACCTCGTCAACCTCGTTGTTTGATTCATCAAACCCTAAACCATGCTCACCGGCCATATTTCAACACTTGAATTTGTTGATTTAAGATCCTTATCTTACTTGGTACAAATGTGGGTGGCGCAAAGCCACAAAAGGTGA